TATGCTATCAAATGACACGTATTAGTACATCCAGTGTATTCAGACATAGCAAAAGGATTAGAAAGTGTCTGACATTTAGATTGACCGACTGTAATTTTAAATTTTAATACAACCATTCCAACTTACCGAAATTTGTAATAACTTAGAAGTAGCACGATTCTAACTGTGTACAGTTTCGTGTGCATTCTAATCATGTACGCAAGAGCTGAGCTAGATTAAATATTTAAAGACGATCATAAAAACACTTTTAAATATCGAATTTCTCTTACAAAAATGATCCAGAAAAGGCTGTGTCGCCTATCTTATATTTCTGCTAGTTTATTCTTTGCTTTGAGGACTTACGAAACGTCTTGGAGCATCAATATTTCATTTCATCACTTCAAATATATTCTTAGAATCTAATCTGTATTCTAAGCTTAGTTTCTTTACTTCTTCGCTAAAATGTGACCTTACGAGATCGATCAACTCCTTTCGAAGCTGGTCTTCTGATTTCAGCTTTTATTTTCTGTGATAAAGTAAGATCTCAGTTAAGTGTCAAGAAAGAAGAATAGCAAACAGTTCGAAATCAAAAGTACTTTTAATTTTTGATGATGTTTGGATATTTTCAACTAATTTAAAAGGGTGTCTTGTGAAACTCACTGTCAGTCTTGCTTTAGCTTTAAATTTTCTCTCCCTTCTTAGCTTCTGCAAATATATACTGTCTTTGTAGTAATGTGGCAAAGAGACTATAATATTTCTGCGTGTTGTGTCAGAGTTATAATAACATCAGACACACGCATCAAATAGCTGCTTTAATTTAACTAGAAACTATGTTCTCAAAAGGCATATCTCCTAGAAATCGTAACATCATTTCAAAAAACAAAACAAAACAAAAGAATCTGATGTGCACACCACATGACTTCCTTTTACGGAATATTAAATTATATGCATATTTTGCTGCATTTCATTTAAACTTATTTCGTCGATATGTCATTAGAGATCGCGGTAAAGCAAAAATACATAAAACTTCAAAATATATTAAAAAATACAGAAAAATATAAAACACCAAATACAGTTAAAACAATATTTTTGCTTTAAATTAAAATTAGTGTTTCTACGCAAAAACAACCAATTCGGCCAATAGGCAGCAAGACCAAATTTTCGGTCCCATTTGGCGAACAGACATTGAAAGTGCAAAAGCTGACTTAATTCACAATTTTGCTAAGTTTCAAATGTAAACAAACGTGGCTGCTATGGTAATAAAATTAGGTTTAGCCGCAATTAAACAACTTTTAAATTGTGGATAATTCTACAACTTTTGCAAGCAGGTTAACTAAAGGCATAAAAACCTTAACCGGAAGATAACAGAGTAATTCAAATTTAAAGCAAAAAATGCACAATTTATCAACGTATAAAAATAGAAAACTGAACTCACGGAGCCAAGTAACAGAGTGGGTACATATACACTTTTATATTTTTGGTGTGGCTCCAAAAACAGAGGTGCACAACTACATGATAAAGCAGTCCTATATACAAAATTTCAACATACTGAGACTACTCGTTTTTGAGTTATGGGAGGTACATACATACGTTACGTACGTACAGACGCCACGAAAAAAATCTCTTCTAAATCTATTTTAAATCAATTTTATACGTTTGGGGAAAAAATGGTCCTTTATTCTGTTCTTACCTGCAGATGTCACGCAAAAGCGTCGTTAAATTGCCTTCCCTAGCTGTAAAAATGGATATTTTTGCTGAAATATGACACCCGAAAATTTTCGTAATTACAATATTTCCTTTACTTGGTACAAGGAAGTAAAAAGCACATTCCACTCTTCCCATATGAAAAAAAGAAAACGTCTCTTCGCAGACTACTCTTTACTGCTTTATCTTTAAAAAATTTTATGACTGAATTGTATTCGAAAATATTTTAGGTAAAACAATAAGACACATTTTTAATACAATTTATGCTTTCCTCTCAAGTATCTTATTTGACTCGGAGCAGTTAAAAAAAAGTTAAAAGAAGAAAAAGGAAATTACTTCTTAACTAATTTTTCTAAAATATAGATTTGCACATCAGGAAATCGTCAAATTTCAATGGTCGAAATAAATCAATAAACTTCGCAGTACAGCGAAAAATCAAAAGAAAACAGATCAATGCGCACTAGATGGTTTAAAGACGTTTAACAAGTTTGGACAATTAATCGAGAAAATGTATTAGAACAGAAATACAAAATTTGCAACTCATGTCTAGAATAATTAAATAACTTTTAAGCCTGAACAGATGCTACTGTTTTTGAGTTAACGATACAATCCTGTATGTTTCAAGTAAAATCAGAAATGCGAATGCCCATTATTTATTATAAATGCACAAGATATTTTATTGTTCAATCAAAAAAGGTGTGCTTTGCTCATTAATGTGACAAAACGAGTCTTTTAAAAAGCTATTTTTTCTGAAAATCTTAATAGCATTTTGCAAAAGGATTTTCTTCTTAAGTCAAATACATTCCTTCCAGGACACACAGCAGATTTAAAATTCTTACTCTTGTGTATGATGATTACTGGCCATTATAACTGCTAAACCAGAAAAGAAAACAAATAGTAGAATCATATATTATTATACAGTACAATGGGTGGAAAACATGACTAAATTTTCTGATCGTTTAGAGTATACAGAATGCAGAATTCAGTACACAGAAGTTACACCTCTGGCAACAATAATGGCTGCAATCCGGTTGGGCATCGAGTCGAACTGAGCTTGGATGATACACTCATTCCATACGACTTCAGCTCTATGCCAGAGTTCATCATTCTTAGCGACTGACGAGTGGTGGCATGCCAGTTTCTCGGCAAACCATGATCAGGTGATCTCAGTGGGTGAGAGATCTGCGGACCAGGGTAAGTCGAACATCCTCTGCATTGAGGAAGGTCAGGACAGCACGACGGGCAACACGACGTCGTTCATTATCTTATTGAAAGATGGCGTCACGCAAGCCTCTTATCAAAAGAAGGTGACGGAGATGTGTACCCAATACAGGCCTTATCAAGATGCACTATCAAGGTACCCCTGTCAGGTGCAAGCACTCCAGGTGCTGGGACCCTACGACGATGACGAATGCAATCTAACAAGGTTAATTCTTCATGGTGCCTCCGCACACGGATACAACCATCATGATGCTGTACGTAAAGTTGGGATTCGTTTGAAGAGACTACGTGGTCCAATTCATGTGTCTAGTACCGTCGTTTGTCGCACCACTGAGGGGCGCTTGTCCCTGCTGAAGCGTCAAGAGAAGCCGCAATAATTGGCGCCGTACAGACAGTCTGTGGTGCTGCAGACGTCTTCGCACTACCCTTGCGGTAACCTCTTGTCCTACCCAGACCCAAGTCTGGGCAGGTTTAATTTAATGTTTTTAATTTCGCAGTTTCTGTCAAGTCTGATTATTGTTTAACGGAGTCTTAAGTTTAAGTATTGAAAGGTTTCAAATTCTGGACGACAGAAGAATATTTCTAATTAGTTCAAAAATAATTTATTTTTGATATTCTAGAAATGTTTATTTTTAGTATTAATTGGAAAGTTAACTAATTTTAAAATTCACTGCAAATTACTCTCAAATGAGTTTAAAATAAGAATTTCGAAATTCCTATATGTAAGAAAAAATTATTAAGTTTTTATTTAGTAAGATTAAGATTTTGTCTAAGTTTTTATATAGGTTATTTTATCGGTTAAATAATCAAAAAGTTTCATGTTCAGTCTCAATTCTTCTGTTTTCACGAAACGCGATATGGAATTAGCTGGATTCGAAGATCATTTTGCATTTCCCCCTGAAGAGTCCATAATGAGATTCAAATTAGGCTAATTTACCATTTACCGCTTCTTTGTATTTTTGCTTATGTCTTAAGTAATTTTTGTGTTTATATTCAAATTTTTTAGGACAGTTTTAACTTTAATCAACATTTTACTTCCTTATTTGATTTGAGTTTTAGATTCACTTTTTATTTGTCAGTTTTCTTGTGATAATTTCATTTATCTTGTATTTAAACTTTTAATTGTAATTTATTTTAACTTAGTGTTAAAATTATTCATGGGAACCACAGTATCACATATGCTTTAAAGCAATAGCATGAAAAATTTTCTTTTTACCTAAGATAAAAAATATATAAATCAAAATTCTAATTTTAATTGGAAACATTCCCTTTTAATATTTTAGTTTGTATATTCCCCCTTTTAGCCCTAAAAATAGTAACTGCTTATAACAAGTCTCTCTAAACTACATCACTTCGAACTTAATTCATGTCATATTATTCTTACATAACGCTAGTGACGCAGGCACTTACATAAAGGCTTCAGTCAATAATGATTTCAATTTGGGAACTGAATCATTTTATTGACCAATGGGATTAAATGGGAACCTCAGCACCTTTAACTACATTCACTATGTATCTCGATTTATTCCTTCACAAAATGAATTCATTTTTCGTAATACAGGCAAAAATTGATTTTCATCAATTATTCAATTGTTCCCATACTTCTCTGGTGACTTCATCTCAATTCTAGGAGCTCTAAATATGTAGGTATGAAACGCTAGTAAAGTATTCGGTACTTACATTTTTAGGAAAAGCTTCCAATTAATTATTGCCTAAGTAAGGAAACTGAGAGAACATGAAATACACTAGTGCCTAAGGCTCTAGTGGACATGAGAATTTTGGTCAAAAATATTGCGAACAATATATTCGCAATTTTTTAAAGAGGTCGAAGAACAGAATTTAAGATTGGAAACAGTACTATATGAATAAGCTTAAAAATCAATTGAGGATCTGTAATATTTCTTTATTATTTTCTATGAAATTAAATAAAAATTTTTCTCTCTTCACATATGGTATAGAAGTCAACTATCTATCTTTGAAAATAAGGAACAGTACGTATCAAACATTAAACAGTAAAAAAGTTAAAATTCACTTAATCATTTTGAAAGGATTCACGTTTTTACAAGAAAAGAAAATGCAGAAAAAATATTACATACCTGTGGAGCAGAAAGCACACTACTTAGTGCCCAGACGCCCACTATAGCCCTGCGAACATTCATCCTTGCCTTGATCCTTCTCATTGGAAAACGAATAGCGCATAGTCTGTCAAATCCTATCACTACCAGTATGAAGGTGGATAAATAAAGTCCCAGCATCTGCAGGAATTTGAATAGCTTGCAAAGGAAGTCGCCACCATACCATTGCACAGTTAGTGTCCAAAAGGCCTCCCCGACGATGCAAAATACTGTCACTACTAAGTCCGCAACAGATAGATGAAGAAGGAGAAGGTAAACCGTCGAAGAATGCTGTCTGCCTCTTCGAGTTATTGAAATGAGAGTTGCCACGTTTCCCAATAAGGCAGCAAGTCCCAATATCAGAAGGACCACTCCTTTAATTAACGTAGAAGGTTTAAGGAGCATGTTCCAAGGATTGCCAACTCGAAGAGTAGTTTTCGCCTGAAGTCGCATTCCAATATGCAAGAGATTCGTTTAAGATTTGTGACTCCTCCAATATTAGGACATGATTTAGCCATGATGAATTGATAGTGTCCAAGTTCTCAGCTTCAACTGATACTTTGTTCAACATTATAAGCACATTAACATCTACCAAACTTATCTTTCAAAATAGAAGCATTCAACTTGCTTATTTGTCGAAAGAAATTTTGCATCATTGACTATTTTTCTTTAATTTTTAAAGCTAATGAAATTAAGTTGCATAGTTTTCTAATTTTCATTAAACGCTTCATTGAATCATTAAGGTTCGTAGTCTCTTTTCTTCGAAATAAAAATGGTAATGTTAGAGGGATATTTATCTTAGTTTAGATAAAACTAAGAATCATATTTTGAGTTATAGGTAGATTGTCTCAAGTTCATCTAACCAAGTAACATTTTAATTTTCTGACCTAAGTTTAGATATGGCCAGGTTTTTTTTCTGAAAGATGTTGGAATACAGATTATTCTTTTAATCATTGGTTTCTTGAGAAAAGACTTTGAAGAAACAGATAAATTTCTCTAAGCAAGCTGATGTATCTTCTGCACTACAAAACATACACAATTTTATCTTCAGAAAAATCGTTCTTTGGGAAGTAAATTTCAGTTTCACTAAATTTTCCAAGTTTTCCTTTCCATACTCGGAGGTCATCTTGGACCGTCCAGTTCCTAAAGAAAGTCTTATTAAACAAACATTTACAAAAACAGTAAACATCAACAAATCAAGAAGATATTCTGTAAACAAATTACATTATATCATAAAACCTTGCACCGCATTTCTACATTAGAGCTACCTTTCTCTAAGACGTCTACACACGATTCCAGATGATTGTCGTGTTCTACAGAGGTGATGGATGATGGGGGTTATCCATCGGCATCACGGATTTGTCGTATTGTCTTGAAGTCTGTTAACGAGAAACATTGATATAGAAGCGAGTTGCATCTGTTCTTTAATGCCATTAAATTAATAAATTGATACATAAGTGGAGAAAATATATCAGATAAACATTACTGAAAGCTATTTGACACTTTATTCAATTGTGAATGATCTTGTAAAATATGAAGAACAGATTAGATATAAAGAAAAAATTTCTCACAAGTCATTGTACTTGAAATTTTGCTTAGTAAGTTCAGAAACTCTTACTGCTTACTCAAGTGCTCATTTAGTGAAGTTTAACTATTATCTTAGTGATGTACAATTAGAAGCATCTTCAGTAATTTGGTTTAATAATTATTCTGGTCTTTTTTTTAAATGAAATGCTTTACTTCTTTTTAAGATTATTGAAACATTTTAATAAAAAGTTAATCTCATAATGCTTTGAAAAGTTTAAGCTAAAAAAAAAAGAACGCCTACAACCAGCCAGCTTGGAAGTAAAATGTCTTGCAATAACATCAAAAACAAAAAAGTGATTACTTTGACGTCATTTGAATATTGGTTTTTTTTACATTATCAGATGCGGCATAAGTAAGAAAAGAATAACTATTAATAGTGTGGTATTATGAAATCATTTTAAAACTGATTTACAATAACTGCTAAACTGTTTGCATGTCATTAATTACACCGTGCTGAATTTAGATTTAGAATTCAGATTTAATTTTTGGAATGGTCTTAGAAATATATATTGTCACGAAATACACAGCGGCAAGATAACTTCTCCGCAAAGCGGGTTTATGGTTGCCAGAAAATGTCGATGGAAGGCAGGGTTTCCGTATTTGGCGGAAAATCGCCCATAGCGACATTTGGCTACAAAAATGGCAATATGCCATACACGGATGGAGAACCTTCTAGAACGAATTTTTACCGGTTTGGACCAGAAGGTTCTGGAAGGCAAGCCAAAAGCTATATAAACCGTGCCTGCACACGGAGTAGCAGTTAGCCTCATCTTTAGTGAGTGAGCGAATGTCTTGTAGTCTAGTGTCGAGTTGGTGGTCGAGTGCATCGAGAGGGTCTCTTAGTGTATCGCGAGTTAGTGCATCGTCAAGTTTTATCTTGGAGTGTGTTGAGCTCCGAGAACAACCGAGCAGAGTCGGAAGCTGTACTCTAGTGTAGTGCTTCTCAAGCTTTTTTGGTCCGCGGATCGGAAAAAATTTCGCGGACCGATGGTTTTCCCCCCCTCCAACGACCCCCCCCAAAAAACTTTACAAGATATTCCTGAATTACTACATAAGTTAATTGTAATATTACCATTTGCCTATAATCATATTTAGATATAAAGATAAGTAAATATTGTAATTATTACATATCACTATAATTAGCATATATAATAAAACTTTGAGAAAAATCACACACTATTACAAAAAAATAATCGCCAAAACCCGTGCATATAAAAACGGTTTCAGTGACAGTACCCGGACAAGCGAATGAGGATTCCAAATCTACCATACCTGCAGCGCCACTTCTCATCCTCAAGTGGCAACAACTGAAATAATACACTGACTACCAATAAGTATTTGGACACCTATGCAAATGACGATACCTGCGGTCCTAAGGTACGTCACGCACTCCGCCGATATATTTCGTGTAGGAAACAGCATCGGCTTTAGTCGCATGCAAGATGCCTGGCAGTTCGGAGCTCTCTGATTTCGAGAAAGGTATAATTATCGGGTATCACAAATGTGGCCGATCCTTAAGGGACATATCTAGCGATCTGAAGTACCCAAAATCGACAGTGGCCTATGTGATTAAGAAGTGGAAGGTGAGCCGTGATTGTCGGAATGTGCCCCGAGTCGGCAGACCAACGAAACTGGTAGATAGAGACCGACGAGTGCTGTCCAGAGAAATTCGGAAGAACCGCACCTAACCGATGGCCCTTATCCGCGAGGAGTTTCAACAGGAATCCGGGAGTATTGTTTCAATGAATACCATCTGTAACGAAGCACATCTGCTTGGCTTTCATGGTCGTGCTGCTGCGCTTTGATCACAAAGTCCAAGCGCGCTGCTCGGTTAATGTGGTGCAAAGCACATCGAAATTGGACCGTAGATCAATGGAAACGGGTTCTTTGGAGTGACGAATCAAGGTTCACCCTTTTACCGTTCGGATGGCAGCGTGTGGGTCTGTCGTCTACCTGGAGAACGTCTCCTGCAGAATGCATTGTGCCAACAGTCAAGTTCGGCGGAGGTGGAATTATGGTCTAGGGGTGTTTCTCCTGGTATGGGCTAGGACCCTTGGTCTCCATTCATGGTAAGCTCAACTCTTATGCCTACTTCACTATTTTGGATGACAATGTGCTTCCTATGTTGTGGCAGTTTTACGGGTTGGAACCCTGTTACTTTCAGGACGACAATGCCAGTTGTCATGTTTCGACGTTAACCAAGGCTTGGTATGGTGCCAATGGAGTTCATCGAATGGACTGGCCTGCCCAGAGTCCAGACCTGAACCCTATCGAGAACCTCTGGGATGAGATTCATCGCCGAATTCAGGGGTGCACTACAAGTGCAAAATCGGTGAAGGAACTTCTATGTCTTCTCCAAGCCGAGTGGAAGAAAATACCACTAGCTGTCATACAAAGACTTGTGGAAAATATGCCCCTGAGGGTTCACGCTGTAATTACCTCTCGTGGAGGCTCTACCAACTATTGAATTTGAATAAAGTTAGTTTTTCTTTTCTATCACAGGTGTCCAAATACTTATTGGTAGTCAGCGTATGAATTCATAATAATGCTTTAGTTGGAAAGAACATCTCTACAAACGACACAATTAAATTTTGTAATTTTTGGTGAGACATTTATCTTGGTGCATTTTTTTTCAAAACGCGCCAACACGTAAATTCACATATATCTTAGGAAATTTTGAGTAAAAAACTCTAATTTTTTGCATGTATGCTTTGAAATACATCTATTTGAGATGATGAGGAAAATTTTATAATTATAATACAAAAATGCTTTCGAAAAATTTGTAAAAATTATGTGAAAATGCAAATTTTTGAATTATGACTTACTTTTTTCTGGTCATTAAGTACTAAAGAGTTTTCGCCAATAGATCGCATTAAAGTGCACTAGGCAAAGGTATTTCCAAATAAATGGTACTAGGGAAGTACCAACACCCCTGTGCGAAGAAAATTCAGCTGCGTGAGCAGGCATATCTTAATACTTACGAAAGTAGGCGTTCATCATAAAAATTGTGCAGTGATAGCAATAACATTAAATTGAAGCATGCAGGCAGGTGCAGTGAGTTATATGGCAAATGCAGATGGTGAGTGCAATATAGCTAGTAAGAGTGCAGGATAAGCAGTAGTGAGACATCATGAAAATGGCGCGAAGACAGTTTGAAGCTGTGAATGGCATAAGAATACAAATTTTAAAAATAAATCATAAAAAATGGGCGAATTTTATATGTAATGAACCTAAGTTTCGAAATGTGAAAGGAAGAATCAAATAATAAATAAATAAATTAATAAAGAAAGAGATATTAATAAATATATACCAAATCCAATTAACATGGAAAAACTAAAATTTAGAGAGCTAATTTTTTAAAAACTACTGGTGCGATTTTTCCACTTTGGCATAATTTGAGTCGTAGAATCAAAATATGGAGAAAACATTGGTTTGTTATTTCAAGTCCGATTTTGTGCCAAAATACCTATGTTGGAACAGTGCTATATATAAATATAATATATATCCTAAGTCATGCTTTCGAGACCTGGAAAACGCCAATTAAATTTCGACAATCGGTCCGTTAGAGCGGGTAATATAGAACTATCTTTTTTTGGGGGGTGGGTGCAAGGTTTACATGAGAACTATTTCGATTTCTGTTTTCTCCTATTATCTGAAATTCAGTATAACTTAATTCTTGAGGTTGCTGGTACAATCTTCTTTATATTTTTCATACTGGAACTTTTTCCGCCAACTCTGCACTTGCAGAATACTAAGTTTAATAACTTGGAACAGTTGTCGGGAAAATCTAATTTTAAGCAGTGTACAATTTGACTCGTGAATTTCTTAGTTTCTTTACATTAATAATGAATGAGAAAACTGGATTTTGCATGATTATTGTGAGATTACACATCTATATTGTTATCATTTTATATGTTACACATCTAAAACTCAAAATATTTTCAAAAAATTTAACTTCGAAAATCGTACTTCTATCAAGCATTTTATAACAACTACAATTTGGGTTTTCTTACTCGCAGTTCTTCTAAATATTACCATAAATCGATATAATTATGTTGATAAATAAACAAATGATAACACATTAGAAACAAAATGGCGATAAAAAAGACAAGATTGTGAGAAGCATGCAAGATAAAATATTGCAAGAAACGTGGTTTCCACTAAATTTAGGAATTTTTTTCAATTCAGAAAGTTTGAAAATATATTAATCTTATTATATCCTTTTAATAATTCTCCTCTACAGTGAAACAGAGAAGAAAAACGTATTCGTGAATTATACATTAAAATTTTGAAGCAATTTCTTTATTCTAATTAGCTTGCAACTTGCTCCTAATATATGCCAATATAATAGAAAAAAATCAAAGCTTAAAGCTGGATATATTTTCATTAATATGGTAAATTAATATAACAGTATTCGTTAAAATATTAAAAAAAGGTTAAAATTGTAAAGGAAAAAAATCCATACCTTAAGTAAAAATTACAACTTTTTCGTATGCTAATGTTTTCAATCTCATAGCAACAACTGCTTATGTAACCTACTTCTGC